GGTCCGAAAAGGCTGCGATGCAGCGTTCCTCCTTTCTTCCCAATCGAACATGGTTGAAGAAGCGGTCACGTGCTCCTGCGTACACCAGTCACCTGGTCACCGTGCCTGCAGGGTACAACTTACTAGCCTGTTTGACCTTTTTTGGGTGCAGTCCTGTCACTCGAGTTGAACCTTGGTGTGAAAGTTGTCGTCTGCTGGCGTGGTGACCAGGTGATTTGGGCACCCAGGAGCACGTGACCGCTTGTTCAACCATGTTCGATTGGGAATAAAGGAGGAACGCTGCATCGCAGCCTTTTCGGACCAAAACCAGTCGACTCAGCGTCCAAAAGAGTACAACATATGGGCCAATCGCGGTCATCCGTGCTTTTATAAAAACGAAATGGCGCTTTTAGTGACATTTTGCATACAAATCCCCATCTAGTAGGGCGCAGTCACCCAGTTACGGTGGAAGTGCGCGAGTTCGATTGGGATTCAAGTAGGAAGGGAGCGTCTCAGCTTCCTCGGACCACGACCATTCGACTCAGCACCCCGAAGACTACACCTGGTGAAATTTTAATTTTTGCCTTAACTTCCCCTTTAACCAGCCGATAAACAGTTTCCGCCCAAAACGCATGGACTAGTGGAATCACTGAATTAGCAAACTCCGCAGCTTAACTCCCTGCATCCATTTTTCTACGGCAGCAGTCACGACAGCGGGTATTTTATGCCTCTCGATCTTCTCATGAGCACACTGGGAAGTTGGCGAACTGGCATGCAAACATACATATACACACACACACACACACACACTAGGCCTTGACGGATTATGCTAATATTTTCGTGAAATTATGCTTTTCGCATTGCTGAAAAAATTGCAGAATTATGCTATTTTTATGCTAAAAGTTAGCATATTTAATATGCCGCATTATGCTCACATATGCTGCTAAGGCATAATGGTTCTGTGCAAAATAACAGGGGATTTTTTTGTAGAGGGCGTTGTACTGTAATAGCAAAAGTTCAACGGGGTCAACGCACCGTCCGACCTAGCTACGACCATCTCTGATTGTAGTGGACTGGA